ATATAAATTACAAATTAAAATATAAAATGAATGCTTAAATTTTCAAGAGTCATCTCAAAAGAATAAAATTGAATGGCACAAGATGTTACATAAATATGATTATGAAGAAATTCTTATAATAAATACTTAGACTACTTCATTTGGCACCAAGTAAATCGAATAAGGACATTGTAATGGACATTTATAAAGTCTTCATTCACTTTGCGTTAAAAGGATCAGAAATAATTTGAATTTATGCAAAAATACTTGGAGAAAGCACAATACCTCATTTATGAAAATGAGCAAGTCTTATTGAACATTCGATCGTCCAATAAACAGTAAACTATTACAAATAGATCATAGTTTTGAATGCATAATAAGAACTTATGATACCATATATTATCACTGAATTTGTAATGAAAAAAATATTACCTCAGGAGTATTGATGCATCAGTACTCCAATGGGGAGGTGTCACGTAGTATTATGGTGAGACCATTGTATACGTGACACCTCTTCATTGGAGTACTGATGCATCAGTACTCCCGAGGTAATATTTTTTCATTTGTAACAGTTATATTAAAGGTTGGAAGCCATTATTTAAAAATTCAAAGTTAAGTTTTGTGCATGATATAATGATGAAACATTCACATGAATAGTTAATTTAGGATAGTTTCAAGTTTTGTTCATGCTTTATAATGTAATTTACAATACAAATAAATGATTTGAAAGACATGTAAGTTCTTTATATGCATGCATACTTCTGTATACAATTTAAGTATACAAAATTTAAAGTCCTCGTATGCTCCAACGATCACATTAAAGTTAAATGTGTGAGAATATTGTGCGGATTACTTGATAGAAGGTATGTAATTTGGTTAAATCTGAAAAAATTGAACAAAATTGAACGAGTTTGGTTGATTTGATTTTGTTTCGAAAATGCATTTTGGTTTTTGATTTTGAAAACCTCGATATTTGATTTATTGTGATTGGTATGATTTTACTATTTATTTAATCGAAGAAAATGAAAAATGGAAAATTGAAAATTAAATAATTCATGAATTTAAATTGATATTATGCATATAAGATATGTAATTCTCGATATTTATGCATAATTGAATTCCAACGAACAACTAATTTTGATTTGTTCGAATTGTTCAACTCAAATTAAATTTCGGTTTGATCTGTTCAATTTTATTAAAATGTTGATTTGTTCAGTTTTTCAGTTTTTGATTGTAATTGATTCGAGCAATTTAAACATAGATTCATCCAAATCGACCGAATGCTCACTCATACCATTTGAAATTATTTCAAAAATACCTCAATTAAATAATCATGTAAAATTTTAAATTATCCAAATATATAAAATTGAACTTTGCATGCATTCCTATGATTAGATTTCATACTTAAGCTTGAACGGTTTGAGGATGTTGCGCAGATAAAATAATTTTTTTCTCAAATTCTTCTCGCTTCGAGAAGCATGTAAATATCTTTTATGAAAAGTTTATGGCTTTTTTAAAATTACAAACTGTCTATTCTAAAAATCAAACTCAAGATAATCAAGTTACGCATGTTCTTAAACGAGCTATCTTTCGTATAAGGTAAGGTTGTAACTTCCACTTAGTTCAACCGTCCTCTTCACAAGGACAAATTTTAAATAACTTATAATTAGAGGTATTTCAAATATTAATCATTAATGATGTCTGAATTGATAGAAAATATCAACTGAAACAGTTGATTTTACTTCAGTTTTAAATCAAAATTGTAGGTTAGCAAATCGAAATATTCAAATAAAAATCTATGTATAGCTTAAATAAACTCTAAAAAAACTCTATCTACCATCCACAATAATAATTTATTGAGGGTGTCAAAATTCATGATTAACCTCAGTTCATTAGAAAAGAATATCACATTGAGTGCAGTTTTAATATTCAAAATAATTTATGCTAGAAAGAATGTGCTCTAAGTCATCTGTCAATGTGGTTTTGCCTGATAACTACAAAAAAAAATTTGCAATGCCCTCTGATCGGATGATTCAGCTTAACAAGTCTACAATATTGCAGTTATGACTGTGTATTCTCAATGGCCTCCTATCATTTGCATGTGAATCATAGAATACATTTAATTGATAGAAAACATTAAGACGGTTAAGGTCATTTTAGATTTGTCTCTTTAGACAAAATTGGTACCCCAATCTATAAGGTCTTTTTGGATGTACAACCTATGACTATTGGCACAATTTTTTTGGTTATATATAGTGATGTAAATGAGCGAGCTCGGGCTTGGCTTGTGTTCGGTTTGTTCAAAATAAACTTTGTTCGATATTGACTCGTGTTCGAAATTGCTCGTGAACAGTGTGTTCGTGTTTGACTCGATTTACATATTCTTAATCGTGTTCAACTCAAATTTGACTCATATAAATTAATTAGAAAATAAATATCAAGCGTTTTATTTGAACTTGCATCATTCCTATGCAATAGAAGAGACATAACCACATGACCACACAAGCTGTTATGATTTATATGTGTGTGTGTGTGTGTGTCTATATATATATATATATATAACGCGATGGACAGTTCGGGAGCTCTCCACTAGGGTTTGGAGTTTATGGCGATTTCGAGATGTTGAAGGCTCCTTCTCTCTCGTCGGTCGAACACTGGTGAGATATTTCCTTTCATTTTCTGGAATCGGCTTGTCCTTCGTGCTCGTCTCCTGTTCCTCGTAGGGTTTGGAGTTTCTGGCGATTTCGAGATGCTGAAGGCTCCTCCTCTCTCGTTGGTCGAACGCTGGTGAGATATTTCCTTTCATTTTCTGGCTTCGGCTTGTCCTTCGTGCTCGTCTCCTGTTCCTCGTCTCTTCATTCTCTCGCCGTCAATGGAGAAAACTTATGTTGGCGTCACTGTCGGGGTTTCCTCCTCCGGTGCTCCTCCTAAGTTTGCTTTTCCTTTTTCATTTCATGAATCATTGATTCTTGGCGGGGAGTATAATTTCATTAAGAAGCAAGGGAAGAAGGGGGGTAAGTTTGCGATTTTCCTCTCTGACTTTGAAAATTCCATTCTTGCCTCTGCCTGTCATTTTTATCTGGTGAGTAAGTTCCTTTATGGGTTTCCTAAATATGATTTCCTTCAGAAACATTTTGAGCTTTTGAATTTGACTGGGGGTTGGAAGATTGGTGCTCTCGATAGCAGACATATTCTGATTCAGCTATCTAATGAGGATGACTACGCTAACTTTTTTGTGCGAAGAACAGTTCATTTTGAGTATGTCTTGATGAAAGCCCTTAAATGGACAACTGATTTTGATCCTCGGGTTGAGCTTCCTATTATTCCAGTCTGACTCCGGCTACCTGGTTTAAAGGTTCATTTGTTCAATCATGAAATTTTGTTTTCGATTGCTGCTATGTATGGTTACATAGGTCGTATTGGTGATCTGTGGTGACGTCCATAGGTCGCGGAGGCCGAGGTATGGAGTTGGAAGAATGAAACTTTAGAAGTCCGAAGAACGTCACTTTCTTCGGGGTGCATGATTACATCATCTTTCAGATGTGTTATTGCACGATATATGAGGGGTGTTGTTACACTATCATCGAGATGTGTAGTTGCACAATATCTAGGATGCATTATTACACCATATTCGGGAGACGTCATTACACCGTATTCAAGTTGCTTTGTTACACTGTCATCGGAGTGAGCGTTGTATCGTATATAGGGTTTGTTGTTACACTATCTTCGGGATGCATTGTTACATCGTCTTTAGGATTTTTCATTGCACTATATGCGGGGGACGAGAAGGAGTGCTACGCCGACATCGAGGTGAGTCGTTACACTGTATATGGGGTGCATTGTTATACGGTCTTTGAGAGGCATCATTACACCATATTTGGGTTTCGTTATTATAACGTCATCGAGGTGTGTCGTTGCACCATATCTAAGGTGTGTTGTTACGACATCTTTAGAAAATGTCATTGCACTGTATATGGGGGTGTTATTATACGGTCATAGAGGTGTGCCTTTGCACCATATCTAGGATTAGTTGTTACACCATTTTTGGGAGGTATTATTATAACGTATTTGTGGTGCTTACACCATCATTAGTGTGTGCGTTGCACCATATCTATGGTGTATTGTTACACCATTTTCAAGATGCGTCGTTACACCCTCTTATCGAAGTGCCATTACATTGTATCTAGGTGCATTTTTACACAGTTTCACAACAAATATTGATATTTTGCAGTGCACATTGTGACTTCATAAGGGACTTCATAATAAGGACCAAGTGACGACCAATGATGGTATTTTGCAGTGCACATTGTGACTTCATAATAAGGACCAAGTGACGACCAATGATACGACCAATGATGATCGATAGGTGGTGGTTGGAGTTGACCGATGGTGGGAGTTGGTCGATGGCGGTAGTGGAGTTGGCCAGAGGCGACAACAACGAGAACCAGAGTTGACCTGTGGTGGTGGCCGACAAAGTTGACAAGAGTTGGCAACAGTGGTTGCCGAAGCGGTGGTTGATGGTGGCTGGCTGCTGCAAAATCAGAAGGCGTTCACCGAATCTTCGGTGCAGGATCCTGAGCTTTAGCTCCTTCTATTACAAGTTCTGCTCTTTCTCTGGCCCAAAGTCTAGCCCCTTACTCAAGAGGGGGGTAATGCTCTATCAACAAAGCCCAAATTGCAAATAAGGAAGAAATTAGTGTGATTTTTTATCAGACGACAATCGATGGACATTTTATTGTTTTCATGATGTTAGAATTGATTGATTTTGGGCTCATAAGATTCTTCTTATAAAAAAACTCAAATCGACTGTAAGTTTATCAGATTTATAATCCATTTGAGTTTCCAATCAGGCTGAAAAACTTTTAAAAGTAGTTTAATGGATTGATCTGGGCTTCATTTGACTATGATTAGACTTGCTTTGACATCATTGGGCTCGTCTTGACGAGTAGTCATTTTGACTCTGAGTTTGCTTAATTTAGAGTTATGGCTATGATTAGACCTACAAGCAATGCCCGCAACTTCCGCACTTGCGCCGGCAATAGAAGCAAACAATTTCACCAGACGTATTACTCATCTTTCCCTTATCCTGTAAGCTTCTGCTACCTTCTTCAAGATTTGAGATTGGAGCTTAGGTGTCAGCTCTTTGATTGTCTCTCTAGCGCAGAATGGAGAGGAGCTTTGATCAGACAGCCATGGCGCGCGGTCGATTGGCCGTCCTCTCCTCCCATCTCATTGGGGCCGCGGCCGCCGACGGCTTCTCGGCGGTGCGGCGGGGAGGGCTCGCCTTCTCATCTCCCGTTTCTGCGAAGGAGATCGCTGGGCAGCCGGGGAATCTCGCTGGTAAGCTAATAGTGACCGATTCGAGGACGGGGAAGCGGTATGACCTAGAGATTTCGGAGGAAGGAGCTGTTAAAGCGGTTGATTTTAAAAAGGTTTGGCCCTTCTATTTTATAAGGCGAAGATTCTTCATCTCTAATTTTTGTCGCGGTTCGATTGCTCCACATCCCTTATTTGGATGTTTTCTTAATCTTTGCTTGATTAGGGTGAATTTCAACTGAAGGCTCGTAAATATTATCTGTCTGATGCTTTTGTGCCGTTGTGTTTGGGGAAAAAAGGAAGACGTTATAGCTTAATCTGAATTGATTTAAGTTATCAGAAATTTAATCTAGAATATTTTTTTTGTAAATCAACTTTGTTGATCGCTGGTTGTATATTTCTGGACGGGCATGAATGCGAACAGGTCAGAACCATGTGCTATGGTTAGTTTTGTCTGATGCTTATGTTGCTGTCCTGGGTTTGCATACTAAGTGTGGCCGAAGGAAGTTTTAAAGGAAGTAACAAATTTATGTAGGTCTTGTAGTCATTTAAATGGACAACCTAAGAAAAAATGTCAAAACTGTGAAGTGGAGCAAGAGTGGCTTATAAGAAGCATAAGAAGAATAGGTTCTAAAGGATTTATTTGGGTGGGATTATGGAGCTAAGATCAAAAGTGTTCAGGTAAAATGATACATAAAGCTATTATATTTTTTAACTTAATAATTTGTTAGGATAAGGCAAAGGTTTATATAGGTGGTCCAACAAATTGTTTTCTTAAGAGATAAAATCAAATTTGAAAATTTATTTGGATAAATTTTTAGTATGATAGTTGAATCAAATTATATGCTTGTTTTTGGTTTGAAAATACCTCTTTAACATTTTATGAATTTCATTTTATTAATGAAAATGTAGTTTTGTGTATCTGATTGAGTTGTAAGAGGACCTTGAGTCGGTATATATGAGGACACAATAAGGGGGAAAAAACTGTGAATTAAACCCCAATTATGATGGTAAATTTTTACTATTATCTCATTCCATCGTGTAGGAGTCATACTAATAAATCAAAACTATTAAAATCATCAACACTCTCGCTCAAACTAAAGCACATGTAATTATGAGCCTAAATTTATTACATAAATGAGAAAAAATAGGTGTCATAGAGCCTTGGTAAAGTTATCTATCACATGTTTAGACCTGGTCAAATAGAAATAATATTTTTTTAGGGAAAATATTACATTTTATATGACATGATGATTAACTGTAATGCATTTAGTTAGTTTATGAAAAGTAGGATTGCTGGTGATATAGATAGCATAACCATTGCTGTAATATATATTCATAGCTGAGTACCATGAATATCAAACTCTCCTTGATTCTCTTAATAGAGCAGCACATCATTTGCAATAAAAATGTGTCATAGCTTTGTATTTAGATTCAACACTAATTAATTGACACCACTACTTTTTTCTTGCTTTTTTTAGGAAACTAAATTTCCTCAACCATAGATGCAGTATCTTGTGATTTATTTATTGTCTTCAACTAACCCAACATAATTGACCATGAAAATGCTTCAATATTTAAATGCTTACATTTGGTATATATCAATCATTTAATTAGAAATTTTTTATATTTCTAAGGACTTTTAGAACAAATTTCCATTACTTCTTTGGATTTTGCATGTGCTGCCTGAGGACTCCAACAACAGATGAACCTTTTGGCATGCAGTAGAATTTTTTATCGATCAATTGTTCTATTAGGATGAAATAAAATTATAGTGAAGACCTACTGATATGCAATTGATCTTAAAATTAGAATAGGGGTATTAGATTGCAGGTATGATCATTGAGAAGAGCGTTCATCTCGACATCCATAAAAAATGATATAACTCTCATTGATTTATTGTGGATATTTAGATTTAGGACATACTTGAGAAGTTGGGTGACCAAAGGAGGAAAATATATGCGAAGTAGGTTTTAGAGGCTTGAGAGTGCTTAATGAATTTACCAAATTCCTGTTAAGAAAGCATGAAATTAGAGGGAGCAATAGTAGTGGGAGAACCACTACTAGGAAGTTGTCCTAGAGGCATTTTGGGCAGTTGGAGGATGGATAATATTAATCTAATATTGTCCTGTAGGAATATATGATGATTAATACATTCATGGTAAGATCAAAAAAGGAAAGAGATACCCCCACTACCAAGTTCACTATTTGTTCAACCTCCATAACAGTGATGATGCCCTGTATATGATAGTTTTATTACATGATGATGGAGTGGATGATAACTCATTAACTTGAAGAATATGGGAGAGAGTAGTTGTAAGACTGGGAATTGAAAAATTGACTATTAGTGGAAGGTGTACATAGTGCAAATTGAATGAAGGCTCAAGGGAAATCTAGCTATCATGAGCTCTTTATTGTTTGTTCCAGGCATTAAAATCAGTGGTAGTAGGCCTATAAAATACGCATCCTACTTACCTCACATGTTACCCTATTTAACTTGGATGGATAAATTCCTTTGCTGGAGAGAGAATAAACATTTTCTTAAAATTGAGTAAAATGAGGAAAACCCCATATCGACTTGGCAATCCCATGTAACATAACTTGAGGAAATAACATGTTCTGTTCTATTCAATGATCGAGTGAGAAAATATAAATGCTTGCTGTTTGAAAAAACTGATGTTAATCTCATGAGCTATAGAATGGACTTAATGTGAGAGTTTTTGTAAGTTTCAACTAGAAAATAGAAGGCACATAGTCATAAGCTGTAGTTGATATCATTGAATTTGATAAAGGTCCTAGTTGTGGAGTAAAGTTTCACATTATGAGGAAAGCTTCAATGATGAAGTGAGAACATATATCTATATATGTATATATGCATCTCTCTCTCTCTCTCTCTCTCTCTCTCTCTCTCTCTATATATATATATATATATAATTATGTTTGATTGGCTCAAATTGCTTGTAAACCGTGTGTTCGTTTTTGGCTTGATTTACATATTCTTATTTATATTCGGTTTGAAATTGATATATTTAAATTAATTTGAAAAATAGATGTAGTGTGTTGGATTCGAAAGTGCACTATTCCTAAGCAATAAAAAATGCAAAACCACATGACCACTCGATATGTGGTGATTCAAACTTAGATCTAAATATATATACTATATATTGTAAAATAAATAATATATATAATTTTCTTATTTTGAGCTAAAATAAGCCGAACACGATGAAACAAAGGTTTGTTCGTGTTCGGCTTGTTTATAATTCGAGGTTAAATATTTTTTTCCCGTTCGGCTTGCTTGCTTAATAAAAAATTCAAATACAATCTACTTAACTGGTCGCATAACGAGCTGTTCGTGAACAACAAGCTTTTTGACAACCGTAGTTATATAGGGTCAAATATCTTCTATGATTAAGCAAATTAGGAATGATGATAATCCGGGATGACATAACCATATGTTTTTGCTTGGTATCTTCATCTTCTCCCTACTATTTGCTTTAAGCTCATGGTGATAAATTTTGTTAATATGTAATTTAAGCCCTTAATTGTTGTTATTATACGCTAAATATTCAACTCTTAATGATTAGCCTTAATTTATAGTACTCCCATTAATGAGGTGTGTAAATAATCATAGGGGCTTGCGCCTATGAGAAACATCAAATCCTAGAGCTTTAGATCCTTAAAAAATGAGAGCGGATTCTAGGTTGTCTTATTTGCAGTCTAATCTACACTATGAAAATTTGACCAAGAACTTAAGTTAAAACTCTCTCATTTGAGAGTCTAGGGCACGGATTTTCAGAGCTCACAAGGTAAAGGAGGAAATCAAAGAAACTTCATTTTATATTTAGAGAGTACCATCTTGATGAATTAAAAAAGATGTAGAAATTTTGAGTTGAATCCATACAAAGGGTATTTAGGTATCATTCTGAGGAATTTTTGAAATCTATGATATTTGATCTTACTTTAATCTTTTTAATATTATTATTTTTCTTTGTTTTTTTGGGTTTGTTTAAAGAGATTTGGAACTTTTTTAAATTTGTTGAGACTGGGATTATTTTGGTTTTGGGATTGGATGGTGAGTGTCCTTTTATTTTAAACGCCCTTTGTAGCTATTGTTTTCAGTTGATAGGATCCTCTCCTTTTTTTTTTGTTCGCTAGACTGTAGGCCTGATATGCTGATTTTCATCATCATTTAATTGTGTGGTAGATATTCACTTCTCAAATTATTACTTATATGAATGAATTGTAACTAATCTTGGATTACATGTTCTTCTTAACTGATTTCTCTTTATTAATTTATAACTTGTTTCACCTTCGCTTTGGATAAATTTGAATTTACACCATCAATATCATGGAGCTGGTGTTAGCGTCCTGATTTGCTTGCTTCCATAACTTTTCTTGTGTAGTCATCTTGTGCTTTCGGATTACTATCTTATATTATATTTTTTTTTCTTTGTAATCGTCTCAGATAACAACTGGAAAAGATGACAAGGGAGTTAAAATCTATGATCCCGGATATCTTAATACTGCTCCAGTGCGCTCATCTGTCAGCTATATTGATGGAGATGAGGGCATTCTTCGATACAGAGGCTACCCCATTGAGGAATTAGCTGAGAATAGCACATTCCTTGAAGTAGCCTTTCTCTTAAGTAAGTTACATATATGTTATTACAAGATAGAATTAGTTTGATAAGTCTATAGTTTCTATGTGCTGCTAATAATATTTATTTCCAGTGTATGGAAATTTGCCTTCTAAAAGCCAGTTGGCGGACTGGGAGTTCACTATTTCTCAGCACTCTGCTGTTCCTCAGGGTCTTTTGGTTTGTGTCCTATATTTTTACATTCCAGTCATTGTTCTAATTCAATTTTTTTGAGGGGCATTTATGTATATTCCACACAATTCTTATGTATTTACATTTCTCACACCTGAACTTTTTCATTTACTAACATAACTATCAAATCTTTAATATGACATAAAAAATAACACTACTACTACTTTTTAAAAGTGAAATATACCTTTTCATGTATAGATTTTAAGCACCAAAGTGCTATGCATGTAAATTTTGAAGTTTGCATGTGAGATATGTAAATGCATAAGAATTGTATGCTACGTATGTAAGTTTCCCTTTTTTTTAAATACCTTTTTCTTAATAATTTTTAAGAAAGGCCATAAGACTGCGTGAAAACAGGAGACTAACTATAGTAGATATATTGTTATTTAATTTCACTAATAATATCTTTTTTCTTTACAGGATATTATACAAACAATGCCTCATGATGCACACCCAATGGGTCTTCTTGTTAGTGCAATGAGTACTCTCTCAGTGTTTCATCCAGATGCTAATCCTGCCCTAAGGGTGAGTATTTCAAAGCATCACTTTCTATGATACAGCGTAAAGATGGCTGGAAGTTGTAAACCAAATCTAGTTCATGCTTCCAAGTTCTGGTCCTGCTTACGTGAACAGTGAACTTATTTATAATTTGATAATTACATACTCATCGCTTGAGTTTTTTATAGAATTAGCACATAGGAACTGCCAAATTGATGCATTTATGTGTGTCATGATCAAACATTGAGAATTTGATAAAAATGAAAAATATGGGCTGGGGTTTTATTATGAATTTTGATATTTGAGTGAGCATTTGAAAAATGGATGAAAGTGTTTGCTAGATTTGTAAGTAACAATGTTTCAAGCACTGTGTATGTAATTGCTCCTTATAAGTTTTAGAGAATGCTGCGTTGAAATATAATGTTAGAAAAAAATGGATATCAGGGTTAAGTCCGAGCAGCACTATAATTTCTTGAACATCATAACAACTCAACCCCTCTTCTCTTAAATGAGATAACTAGTTATGCTCCACCAGAAAGATGTTAGATCTCCACCTTAGTGGGCTGAATTTGAAGTTGAAATTATCGGAGTTGCTAAGACTAAACTCATGGATTTTTTTTATTGCTCTTGTCTCTATATGATACCAGTTGTGCCGGAAAAAGAGAAAAGTTCATATTTCATTTATCAAGAAGAAACAATTTCCAAGAGGGGGAATATGTTACTTGTTGTGTGATTTGTTGATGATAAATGAACTGAAAATAGAATTATTTTTCCTTCAAATATTGAGCTGTTGAGCTATATGAGTGTTGCAAACACTTGAGTGGAGCTTTTGATTGTTTTTTTGCTCTTCATGAAGAAGGTTTTTATATCTACCAGAATTTGGAAAACTACGAAGTTAAAAAAGCAAATTTTGAAGAGATTTGACAAAGGCCTGCCGAAGATCCTGAAAGTTGAGAACTTTGAAATACAACATATTTTTATTTCGCTCGCCTCAATCTTCCAGTAAATTTTAGTCCTTTCTTTCGCCCGGCTGCTTTCTCTCTTCAAACAAATTTCATTCCTTCCTCTCACAGCAAACTGCAGAAGCCCTTCTCTGCCTTAGTTGTCTCTATTTTACCACACGACATTAACGCTACTCCAATCGAAGCCTTCCATCCTTCTTCTTGTTCTCCTGCTTCAGTCGTAACGAGCGAGGAAAGCAATGACTGAATTACAACATTCAAAAACTTATAGAACTCCCTGTTTCTTCTTCCGGTTGCACGCCTCCGTACATCGAAACTCATACAAAACCTCCCCACTTATTCCTCTCGATCACAACAGATTGCAAACGCCTACTCTGAATCTTTTGCGACACCAACTTGCATGCAAAAAACAACAGAGGCCCCAATCGACCGCCATTCCACTTCTATTCTCTCCACCTTGCCTCTCTGTTATCCATGACGAAAAAATTAGAACTCTCGCCCAATCCTTCCTTATGTCCATGCGACTCAGTTGCTTTGTCCTAGCCTGCATGAAGCTCAAGGCTGAAACCCTTCCCCTGTTTTGTGGCATGCTCTAGTTGAAGCTCATACGTCTATCCCAAACCCAATGACCTTCCTTATTTGCATGAATTGCCTCCCTTCTCTTTTTTTCTCTGTTAGAGAAACCCCAAATTTTGACAGTTTGATCTCGAGCTCTACTCGTTAGCTCCTTTCTTCATACCGAAACTTGAGCCGCTTACCTCATACCAGAAACCCCAACCTCGCCTGGTAATCGAACCTGAACACTAACCCGAGCCCAAAATCCATCTAGGTCGATCCTTCCCCACTTTATAATTTGTGCTTTATATTTTATCTTATAAAAGAAGAAAAAAAGAAAAAAAAAAGATAACAAAATCCTTATTGTATTTTCTTATGATTTTGTCTTTTCATTGTTTTCACTTCAACTTTGCCGATTGTCGTAGTTTAGGAAAATGATGAACTCATTTGGAAAATTTTTACAAAATTCAGTGAATTTAAAATACCCATCTTGGTAAAAGTGGTACATTTCATTGGGAATTAAATACCATTCAGGAAAGTTAAAGTACATATTCACGGAAATATTTGTGCGATTTGACCATTTTTTGCAGGTACATTGAGGACCTATAACATCTTTTAAGATCGTGTGTTAAATACATATTTTTGCTCATCCGCCGTAGCATCTTATGCACTGACCAGCGAATTATTTAAGACAGTTTGAAATGTTGGCATTCTCGCATGCCTCTTATTGGGGGTTGATGTCATGAGGCTGCTAGAATTTTGAGTGATTTGGACTTTTAAATAACATAAAATCATGGAGTTTTTAAACTTATAAAATAATATAAAATGTGGACCATTTGAATTTTAAAATAATTCTGAAATTTGAACTTTAAAATTTAGGCTCTTCGGGCTTTAAAGTATTTGGAAATCTGGGCTTTTAATATTTAGACTCTCGGGGCTTAAAAATATTTTAAATTTTAGGCTCTTAGGGCTTTAAAATTTCTAAAAATCTTGGCTTTTAATATTTTGACTCTCAGGGCATAAAAATATTTTAAATTTTAGGCTAATAGGGTTTAAAATTTTAATTTGGGATTTTAAAATTTAGCATCTTAGAATTTTAAATTTTTTTGAAATTTCAGGCTTTCAAATTTAGTCTCTTAGGGTTTGAAAAATAATTTAAACATACGACTTTTGAAATTTGAAAATTCGTCACCGAATGTGTAATTTTAATTTGCAATCAGACAGAAGGATCTCTTTTTAAAAGCTTAAAATCATGATAATTTTGCAAATTTTTCAAGCTATGAATATTTTTAAAATTGATATAAATTTAATAGTTTTCTTCCAAGTCAAATTCAATGATTTGGAATGTGTGAAAGTATTTTAGGACATCTATGAGTAATAGTTTGTGCTCTCTTGAACTGTGTATGCTTTAGGACATTCATATAGATAATAATCATATACATGATTTCAAAATCTTTTGAACTAAATTTTATATCAAAATTATAGTTTAAAGGTTGCACAATTCTTCAAAATCTATACAGTTTTTCAAGCTATTCAAAAATATGAAATATAAAACCCACATGGGCTCCAATTAAAATTCTAAATGCTTTAACAAATGGTTAAGGGAATGCTGCAGAGTATGGCAAAACTTGCATTCAAATAATTCATAATTTGAAAATCAATCAATTATGTGGCTTTATCTATATGATAAAGTTGTAAGTTTCACTTAACTAGTCTGATTTTTCTTATCGTAAAAATTAGAGCTGACGAGTCTGGTAATTTTGAAATAAATGTCTAAATGATATAAAATTTGCAAGTTCATATCTCCTAGTCTGATTCTTCTCTTCTGAAGTGGAGTCGACATGAGTAACATCCTAAATATATCAAAACTAATTAATTTCAAATAGATTTCAAGCGCAACGTCCCCCGATGATTGTTGTATTGATTGTGAATCTCATTCAGAGGGGTTAATTTTGAAACAAAATTTCAAATAAATTAAACATATAATCAAAATTAATCACTTAAAAAAACTTAAAGCAAATCACACTCACCCTCTACAAAAGTTTATCAGGGATGACATTTTTTATTAACTTCAACTCACAAAAGAGTTAATGTCACATAAGGTGTGCCATTATATTCATACTTAAAGCAATTTCACGCCAATAAATACGTGACATGAGTCTTCTGTCCGCATGGTTTGATCCAAATATTCTACTAAATAATAGTTACAATCGCAACCCTTTGACAGGGTGGTTGTCGCTATATTTCGGTCACAGTCGCAGCCCATATGTTCCTCAATGTCTTTTTGTTATGAGTTGTGAATAATACATGCACATCTGATTGACACAAAGCCTTTTGTTAGCTAAGATTGACTTAAATTTGTCTCTTGAGGCAAACATCCACCCAAGATCTCTAAGGATTATTTGGACGGTGACAAGGATTATTCAGTCATGTTGGGTGGACTATCCTTTGACTAAGTAGATTAGAGAATATGATGACCGGAGACTACAGAACTATGAGGTCTTGATTGGGTTTGTTATCATTTCCCCTACCATCTGCTTTAAGCTCAAAGTGAGAAATTTTACAATTTAAAATGTATGTTTGTTGCTACTATATTCTGATTATTCAGTGTTAAATGAATAGCCTTAATTGATAGTATTCTCATATTATCAGGATGGGTAATTAACCATCGGGGCTTGCTCTTATGAGAAACCTCGAACCTCAGATAAAAAAGTCTTCACAAAATTAAAGCGAAATCTCTAATTAGTGTCTTATCTACTATTCCATCCGCCTTTTACAAATTTAACCCTCAAAGCTTTCTCAACTACAAAATAGAGAATTTGGTGCATCGAAATTTTTGGAGCTCACATGATTGTAATGACATGCTTGAGTTTTTTTCGGCTAATTGATTTCTACCTTGAGATAGTTTATTTTATACCTAAAAGGTTCTGTATTACTGCATGCGCATGTATCCATTTTACTGAATGATTGCTTATGTTATGTCATAATCTACGGGGCTTAAAACTTCGCTTTAAAGTTTACAATAGCATATCAGGCGTGAATATTACATTAGATCTCATGGCAGTATTTTCCTATGGGCTGCATCTATTTTTGAGGGTTTGAAGAAAGTTTAGATCTTTCATTCTTTTAATACTTATAGTATTAAGCGTTGCAAACTAATTATTGATAAATTGAGTACCATGAACTTAATTCCGTCACCTGGCAATTCTTTAACTTAAACATTTTCTCGAGCTCAGTTACATGTGGATCAACAGATTATACTCTATATGAACACAATATAGTGTGGTGTACCACCGTTGAATATAATTTCTATCCAATTAGGACACCCTTTGCTCTATGTTAATGGATCCCATCCAAAATGCAGAAGTCACCTCATACATTTTTTAATTTAAGATCACTAAGATTATGCTACTTCCAGCTAGCCAATAGTGTGCACAACCACTTTTACATTAAAAAAATCTGGCAAAATAGACGACAAACTGAATACTATGCTATTAATGCAATTTTGGTCTTATTTAGACCTTGTATTAATTTATTTTCACACAGCAAATGCATGAATATTATTATGTTGCTATCTAGTGACATTGCTACTTTTGCTGAACCTTCTTTACCGGAAGGAAATTCTTATATTACATTTAATGACTCCCATATCATTTTTCCCACATTTGAAAATAAAATGATATTTGATTTGAGTCCAATAGACACGTTGCATACTGAATCAATTGCGTTCTGAAATTGTTTGTGACATGGACCTCAATAGGACTATAGATATTTCGGCATTTTAATATTTAAATGCATCTTTACCTGTTTGCGTTGGCATTGATTTGGCTTTTGAAGATCACACTGAAAAAAATAAAAGTAATATTATATTCAAATAATAAAAAAAAAAACATGATGTTAATGATCAAAATTTTAGGTCTGCCGATTTTGATTCAAATTCAAATTACTTTCCATGAAATGGTTATACGAATTTCTTTAAAATCTAATTTCTAAGGCATTATTTTTATGAAATTTTCTCTTAATGTGATGATTTTAGCTGTATTTAACATTGAGAATATCACATTATACCGATGCACTTTTGAGCTTTTGTGTATTCATGTGTTAGTGTAGGTGGAACTTCAGTTTATTTAAATTTTTTAGGGACATTTACATACTTGGCACCCGATTCCTTTGTATTTACTTATCTATGTAAATTTTCCATTTTTTATAATCCCTCTGCTACTTGTCTCATCCCCTGTTAAGTTAGCAGGTGTACTTGACATGTGAACATAATACACATGAATATAATTCTTTTGATTGACTATGATGATTTGAGATTCTTCTACTTCAAACTTCTATCAAATACTCTCTTGAGTAGAGTTCTTCCAAACTTGGGGAAGCTGATGCAGTGCAAGTCTCCCGGATTAAGCCCAAATCTAGATTAAGCCTTAGACTCAGTTGCATTTAGAGTCAATTGAATATTAGGCGTAATTTAGCTTTTTTGCATCTTCTTTTGATGTTTATTTTTAAATTTAGGTTTTATCAATTAGTTGGATGCTTATGTAATTCCTTATTTATATTGATTTATTGGTAATAATTAAGAAGGTTTTTCTCTATAAAATGAGGTTAGGACATTTGAACCTCTGCTAGATTTGATGTTATTTTGAGCTGATCCCTCTCCATTATTCTCTCCTTTTTATTTTCATATATGATTCCTTGTTTCTGTTCTCGATTTTCTCCCAAAATTTGAAACTCCTTTGACTAGCTCTTAGATTTTTGGACAAGTCTTATTTCTAATCATAGTGATATTTTATTTAGTGCATTGTCGCTTAATTTTTTATAATTTTTATTTATAGCAATGGCTAATTTTGACTGCACAATTTTTTATTTTCTGCACAAGTTGACAATTCCAGTTTGCCTACTTCCCTACTTGAGTTTCACTTTGTAATTAGAGAGTTTTTACCGATATGCCACATGTTGCATGATATTGTGAAGACACATAAACATAAAACATGAAAAAATCTTATTTTGCTTGCAAATTCTTAAAGTATTATATGATGTCATGTAAATCATGTGTCCCTTATGTTGACTGAAGTCAATGATTGGACTTGTGATTCATCCTATTTTTCCTAATTCTATCTTCTTTTGGAAGTGTTGGATAATTTTAGAGATGTTATTCAGTAAATTTATTTATATCATACAAATTTTAAGCCATTAATATTTTAAAATTGGGCATTAAAATAATCACAACAATGAATTTTGCACCTCTCATGTTTATCATTGCTGTTACTCTATTCTTTCTCCCTTTTTTACTTGGAAAATTTTACCCATGCTCTAATTTTGTTCACTGTATCATTTGTTTATTTGCATCACCAACTTCATTTATTTGTATGCTTTATAAGTATGTGTTGTCTGCAAATTGGTTCTTATTCTGTTCTTCTTCTGTTCTTCTGTCTGCTCTGTTTATGTAGGGCCAAGATCTTTATACTTCAAAAGCAGTGAGGGACAAGCAGATAGCAAGAATACTTGGAAAGGTACTTGTTTTTGATATTCTTACGTTATAGCTTAAGTTCATCTCAAAAAACACTTTCTGTATTGAAAAATTTGTTCTTTTGTTTATGAAGGTACCAACAATTGCTGCAGCAGCCTACCTGAGATTGGCCGGAAGGCCTCCGGTGCTCCCTTCCAGTAATTTATCATATTCGGAGAACTTCTTGTATATGCTGGATTCTTTGTAAGCCCTCACTTGCTCTCATTCCCTTTTATTGATTGGAAGATTTACATGCATACCACTCAATTCTTATGAATTTACATATCTAACACCAAAAATTAAGTTTTTTCATATATGCCACTTTGTCTATACATGCAAATTACAAATGTGTTTTTTTTACTTTTTAAAAATTAAAATAATGATACTTTTTATGTGATTTGAAAGATTTAGGTGATATTTATGTAAAAAGTAAAGTTTATGTGTTAGATTTGTAAATACGTAAGAATTGGGTGGTATGTATTGCAAATGCCATGCAAACTTGCCATTAACTAGTTAACTGGAGACCGGAATTTAACCTTTGTGACATTTTTTTTTCTTATGATACAGGGGTAACAGGTCTTATAAACCTAACCCTAAGCTTGCTAAGGCCCTTGACATTCTTTTTATCCTCCATGCAGAGCATGAAATGAACTGCTCTACGGCTGCTGCAAGGCATCTTGCGTCAAGGTATGCATTCCTATATTAATTGAAACTCGATGCCACGTTATTTTTTTGTCTCCCAATTTTGATTTCTTTCGTGATTTTTATAGCGGTGTCGATGTATATACTGCTCTAGCTGGAGCTGTAGGAGCTTTATATGGCCCTCTTCATGGTGGAGCAAATGAGGTACTCAGAGAAACTAACCTGCATAACATGGGAATTTAAAAAATCTTCATTTTATTGAATGCATTATGAATTTTGCTTTGTATTTGCTTGGATGGGAGGTGTAATTAGGAAATGTTCAAATCCTTTCACTTAATTTCTGCTAGATGCTGTTCCTGGCAAGTGCATTACACGTGAGGACGTGGTTGGTTTATTAAACATTTTGTCAAACTTTTGAAACATCCCAACTCAGGCTGCCAAAATTTGTCTATTTAATAGCATAACCAGCTCTTTCGGGAGAATGTAGCATTATTCTTAATTATCTGATGAACCGTTGATTTTGTACTGTTTGCTACGTTCAGTACTTTCTTAACTATTTATTTGGCTTCTGTTTTCTACAGTGCCTTTTTAGTTTAAGGAGCATTTACACACATACCACCCAATTCCAAATCCATTGCATATCTAACACCATAACTTTTCTTTTTTACATTTATACCACCCAAATATTTCATCACATACACCATTGTGAAATGCACCTTTTCATTCATAGGTGAGGTGGATGCCTGTACAAATTGAAGTTTAGGTGATAGACATGAAAACAGATAGGAATCGAGTGGTACGCATGTAAATCATCCTTTTTGTAAATGTAGAATAATTACGTGTCACTGAATGCTTCAGGATGGATGCTTGACAAATGCAAGCTACCATTCCATTTATGTTTCTGTCTAAAACATGAGATATTGTTTTGGTGTTTCCATTGCTTTTAGTGGTATCCTGATTTTGTTACACCATGCCATAGTCTTCTGCTGCTGTGCAAAGAGTATATTTGAGTTTGAGCTTTGACCCTTTTTGTACCACGCTTTATCTGATTAACTGAATCATTTACTTCATCCTGGTAATTGCAGGCCGTCCTTAAGATGCTTAATGAGATTGGAACAGTTGAAAATATTCCAGATTTCATTGATGGTGTGAAAAACAGGTTTTTTTCTTTTTTCTTTCATGGATGTTGGTTTAGCTTCCATTAGTGGGTTTATTTTATATTTATTGATCAGCATTTGCTTGATATTGGTTTGTATAGGAGGAGAAAAATGTCAGGGTTTGGGCATCGAGTGTACAAAAACTATGATCCCCGTGCTAAGGTTATCCGCACGTTGGCAGAGGAGGTCTTCTCAATTGTTGGCCGTGACCCCCTTATTGAGGTATTTTTATATGATTTTACATGCGATATACATCTAATTTTACTCGATAAGGGACTCTACCTTTATCTATGCACATATGATTGTTGTTTGTCCTAAGCTGTTTTTCTTGGGAAGTAATTGCTGCAGGAGCTCCCGTTGATTTACACAATCGGATATCCCGCGATTTCGAGACTGCAGGATATCCTTTATGTATTTAAGAGGGGTTTGTGGGAGAAAATTTCTCGCCTTCTCGGATTTTTTTCTAATTCTTTCTTTCTAATTAGGACATTGGCATGCACTTTGGGCAATTTGGTTCTTTATTGGTTATTATTGTGGGGTATAAATAGGACTTAATATGCTGAGGTTAAGGTTATGATGAGATTGTTGTCTTGAGTCCTAGGGTTAGGATTTGGAAGAAATCACCTGTCTCTTGAATTATAGTTGCATATCTTTTATGTATTTAAGTGTGTTGTTTGAAGTTATTGAAATAAATATTTTGTTTGCCCAAATTTTTTTGGAATATCAAATTGGTATTAGAGCATTCAACTGTTGTTGCACCTTTCAATTTTTGCTGAAATCGTCGAGACGTCGGGTTCTCGATGTGCCTATCGATCCTAGAAGCATTCTGGAAGCCTACGAGTTGTGATTTGAGGAAGCATACAGGATCGCAGGGTATCGAGGCGTGACCTATCCTCGTGACTGAACTATGCGATACAGTCACGATTATAGTTAGCTGAGAAGCAACTTTAGAATCATGATGTGCAATCTTCTCTATTACGACACATTCAGGATACACACCATCTTGGCATACTTGTGCCTCCGTCACTGTCTCATTTGTGATCGAACCACACTCATTACTTGGGAAGCCATCGACGAGATTTCGACATATATGTGTTTCTCCTGATCGAAAATCATGACAAATGGCAACAAGGAAAGTGGATGCTTTGGAAGATAGATTGGATGAAGTAGTGCAACTTAAACCCGGGATAGAGGAAATCTTCTCAACTATAGAAGGAAGGTTTTCCTCAATGGAAAATCAATTTGAGGTCTTGGAGGAGATGATGTGGAGGCTTATTGAGATGAAATCCAAAATCTCACCGACGGTTTAAATTGCAAACTTTAACCAAGGTTTTACTGGAGAATCATTGGCCAGATCTAAGGGACAGAGATCAGACAAGAGAAACATGAGGAGGAAAACATCCACTATTAATAACCCCCTCCTAAGTTTTTGATGGGGGTGGATTAGAGATTTCTGACGAAGGGGTTGGCCTGAAATAGGGGGAAGGTGTTATGTAAGGGGTATGGAGGAGCACGAAGAAGGAAGATGAGAAATCGGGATGGGGTATGACTATGATCGAATGAAGGATTTTCACTCTGGATACATGGGGGGAACCACTAGAGAGAGAGAAAATTGGGGTAGAGATGCTAAGGTTAGGGAGTTGAAGATGTCGATCATCAAAGGAAAAGACACACATGATAGTGTTAATTGGTTGGAAGATACATTGGCTGTATTGAATAAATAAAATTTGTAACTTTCATTAATTCTAACGTTTTTTTTAATTGTATCTTAATAAGCATAGAAGTGTCTTTTTTAATATACAAATTTGGAGAGAAAAAAAAAGAGAGAATATTTTGTTTCGTATTTATGTTAATATTTGGGGATAATTGCATATAAAGAATTTTAAATAATATTATTTAAAAAAAAAGAGCATTAGGGTGAATATTTTGAATTATAAAATTGATACATTTATGTGCAGATTTGAGAGAAATATGAGTTTTATTGTGAATTTTAATATTTGGGTAAGAATTTAAAAATAAATTAATTATAGAGAATGGTTGTTTTACAGATGGTAATATTTTTTAGCATCATGATATAAATGCCTAGAATCTCATATTCCAATTTATTATTTGCTAATAATCATTATTGTAATGTAGTGTATATTTAAGCATATCATCTCACGTGTAGATGTAATTTCTTTTTAAATTATTTTTTTTAGGGTTGTTTATCTTTATAATTGGTCTTATAAGGGTAAGTCTGTGTTATATGATTGTTGAATCCTGATTTTTATCATGAATCAACCCAAACAATATAATGTAGGATAAGAGAGAAATATACAGTTGTAAACAGTAATTTGAGAGAAATGTATAACACTTTATTCTAAGAATGATCCTCTATTTATAGAGAAATAAGATACAATATGTGAAGTTGTATTTACATGAGATTGTGTAGGATATTAGAAATATTTTACTAATGTAGGCTCAAAACTTGATTGTCCTGAAGTTTGTTTGTTTGGACTTATGAACCTTTGATAGACTCTGTCGATCGGTTGAGCTAGAGAGATTTGTCAGTCAATATGTTCTGATAAAGAGTGTCGATCTATTAGGCTAAAATATGCGATTGGGCGACATTTTACTGATAAGGGCTGGCGAGATTGACTTGATCAGCTAAGGTTGAGTCGATCAAGTGGTTAAATCTGGTCGTCGACCCTTCATCCCCGTCAACAAGCTGAGTTAGGCCACATGATAAATCATTATAATCATAGGTAGCCGCCCTTCGACAAAGAGGAATTGAGGAATAATTGAGATTCGCCTCGTTGATTCTTGATGATGTTAACTTTGAGGAGGCTATTGGATGTGTCTGATATAATTATAGGCATAGAGCGGTTAGCTTTCCACTTGGATTGGTTTCATTGTGGAGAATGGTTTGGATTCCACTACATTTTGCTTTCGGTCGAACCACTTAGATTTGACTTGTTTCGTTGCCTTAGTTAATCTCGGCCTTGATACTTCCAATTGAACAATTGGACTTTCGAGTCTTGTATCGACGGGTCCTCCTTTGACATGCGGTGTCTTATCTTTGCCGCTCGATCTCTTAGAGATTTGTGCTGCCATAATATTATGGTTAAGGCAATGGATCTAATGGACCATACTAAGGTTGTTTCCTGCAGAAGAGGTGGATCCAAAGACTCGGATGAAACTGAAAGTATGTAATATTTGAGTTTAAAATATGTAAGATATGAGCCTCTCGAGTCTATAAAAAGGAGCCCATGTTGGAGTGAAATTCAACACCATAGGGAGGAAAAAATGAGAGCCGCAAAACAAACTACCATTTGCAACACTAAAGTTTATTTAGTTTTAATGTCGTATATTCTTGACCATCAATTCTCAACATTTATCAACACTAAAGTCAATTTGCACTAATATCTATCTCTTCAATCACCAATCCCTCATCGTATCAAGAGAGCCACAAAACAAACTATCCCTTTGACTCTTAACTTCTATCCACCAACATGTATCATTGCTCAATAATCTCTTGCATCTTAAAACTCATCATAAAACCATCACATTCTACAATATATACTGATTGCATTATATGAATACATTCTTCTGTACGAAAAGTAAGTCTTTTATAATTCTCCACTACTACACTAAAATTATTTCAACTGGATTACCTTCTTTTATCCTCAAAAAAATTTCAAATAAAATTTTTTTCTCGTGTTACATTTAACTTATGTACAAAAGATTGTTATACAACTCTACAATAATAAATTATTTTTATGATCATAAGTTTTTAATATGTAAGAATATAGTTGATTATTAAGAAAAAATTTAAATATTGAGTAAACATTAGATTAGTTGATTATTGAATGAGCTCTCTTTAATTGACAAAACATTGCATATAAGCTTTGAGGATGTATTATGTTAATTTAGTTGGTATTGAAAGAAGTTATCAAATTATTTAAATTAAAATTTCGCGATATAAATGAATAAATAAATAAAATGAACATTTCTATACACACCATACAATTCTTATGTATTTACATATTTATTGCTTAAGCTTTCATACTCATATGTATAATATTTAATTTCTTAACATTTCATTAGATATATTACTATAAGTAATACTAATTTTTAGAGGTTATATATATATATATATATATATATATATATTTTCATAATCAAGTAGAATAAATATTGATGTTTAATGGAACGTCCACGCAATATAGTGATTTTTTAGCGTCTCAGCGTTGTACAAGACTCCATCTCACAAGTTTTATGAGAGAAATTTAGAAAAGGAAAAAACTACGGGGCTTAGTCCGGTTGAAATAATTCACTCTGAATTGTGAGTGCACATATCAACTCTTCTCCTAAATTAGGGTAAATAAAGTTACAAAAATAATCATTATAAATGCACAATGATGATTCGCCAATAATCATAATAGTCTGCCTATAATGAACAAAATTCTCGGTGATAGTAAGCTGTAAAGCCGTAGTGCAAGTACGATGCTGTGAATATTGTAGGCGGTGGTCATGACGCCAAATTGTCGTATATGTAATAGTTGAAAGTCACGATAGTAGTTCGTTTTGTGGGTCACAGACGGTTGCTTCAGAAGCATCAATTTGCCACATAAGATGTAGTAGGAAGATGTAAAAGACCGTGAGTATATATATGTATGTATATACATATATATACATGTAGATGTATATACATATATATACATGTAGATGTATATACATATATATACATGTAGATGTATATACATATATATACATGTAGATGTATATACATATATATACATGTAGATGTATATACATATATATACATGTAGATGTATATACATATATATACATGTAGATGTATATACATATATATACATGTAGATGTATATACATATATATACATGTAGATGTATATACATATATATACATGTAGATGTATATACATATATATACATGTAGATGTATATACATATATATACATGTAGATGTATATACATATATATACATGTAGATGTATATACATATATATACATGTAGATGTATATACATATATATACATGTAGATGTATATACATATATATACATGTAGATGTATATACATATATATACATGTAGATGTATATACATATATATAGTTGTATAACAATCTTTTGTACATAAGTTAAATATAACACGAGAAAAAAATTTATTTGAATTTTTTTGGAAGATAAAACAAGATAATCCAGTTAAAATAATTTTAGTGTGGAGTTGAGAATTATAAAAAAACTTACTTTTCGTACACAAGAATATATTAATATAATGGAATCAATATAAATTATGGAATGTGATAGTTAATGATGAGTTTTAAGATGTAAGAGATTATTGAGCATTGATATCAAATGACAATTGTTGGTGGATGGGTGTTAAGGAACAAATGATAGTTTGTTTTGTGACTCTCTTGATACGATGAGGGGTTGGTGATCAGAAAGATGGATATGTGCAAATGGACTTTAATGTTGATAAATATTGAGAATTGATGATGAAGAATATAGGACATTTGAGCTAAATAAATTTTAGTGTTGCAAATGGTAATTTATTTTTGCGGCTCTCATTTTTTCATCTCTATGGCGGTGCATTTCACTCCACCATGGGCTTCTTTATAGACTCAGGAGGCTCATTTCTTACATATTTTAGACCCAAATATTACATATTTTTAGTTTCTTCAAAGTCTTTGGATCCACCTATTCTCAATCAAACCGTCTTAGTATCGTCCCTTGGATTCATTGCTTTAACCATGGTATTATGTCAGCACAAATCTCTAAGAGATCAAGTGACGAAAATAAGACACGACATGTCAAAGGAGGACCCATTGATGGGAGACTCAAAAGTCCAATTGTTCAATTGAAAGCATCAAAACCGAGATTAACTAAGGCAATGAAGTAAGTCGACTCTAAGTGATTTGACCAGAAGTAAAATATAGTGGAATACAAATCATTCTCCACAATGAAACCAACTGAAGAGGAAAACTAATCGCTTTAGGCCTGCACCTATATCAGACGCATCCAATAGCCTCCCCAAATTGAACATCATCAAGAATCAACGAGACAAACATTAGTTATTTCTCAATTCCTTTTTGTCTTAGGGCAGCTACCTACGAGATTACAATGATTTACCATGTGGCCTAGCTCAACTTGTTGACGGGAGTTCCCTATCAAGGATGAAGGGCCAACACCCAAATTTAACCACTCCATCGGCTCAACCTTAGTTGATCAAGTCAATATTACCAACCCCTTATCAGTAAAATGACGTTCAATCGCATCTTATAGCCTAACAGATCGATATTTTTTATCAGAACAAGTTGACAGACAAATCTCTCTAGCTCAACCGATCGACAGAGTCTATCAAAGGCTCACAAGGCCAACCAAACAAACTTCAGAACAATCAGGATTTGATCCTACATTAGTTAAATATCTCTAATATTCTATACAATCTCATATGAATATAACTTCACATATTGTATCTCATTTCTCTATAAATGGAAGATCATTCTATGAATAAAGTGTTACACACTTCTCTCAATTATTGTTCACAACTGTACATCTCTCTCTCTTTCTCTCTCGCTTATCTTACCCTATATTGTTTGGGTTGATTCACAAATAAAATCAAGATTCAACAATCATATAACACAATCTTGCCCTTATAAGACCACCCATTATAGAGAAACAACCCAAAAAAAAAACCCAATTGAAAAAGAAACTACATCTATACACGAGATGATATGCTACAATATTGATTATTAACAAATAATAAATTAAAATATGAGATTCTAGGCAATTACATCGCAATACTAAAAATTATTACCATCTGTAAAACAATCATTCTTTATAATTAATTTGTTTTTAAATTCTTACCCAAATATAAAACTCATATTTCTCTCAAATCCACACATAAATGTATCAATTTTATAATTCAAAACTATTATAATTCAAAATATTCACCTTAATTTTGTATATAATTATCCCCAAAAATTAACATAAATATGAAACAAAGTATTCTCTTTTTTTTTCTTTCTAAATTTTTATATTAAAAAGATACTTCTATGCTTACCAATTACAATAAAAAATGTTAGAACTAATGAAAGTCACAAATTTTATTTATTAAATATAGTCGATTTATCTTCCAAACAATTAACACTACCACCATCACCGAAACGAGCTCTCCCAGCCCTAACCCCATGAAACACAATCAAAATTTTCTTTTTTCCCAATCATTTGAACTTCGAACACTAACCAAATCCATCATGTCATCATCATCGATCAATATATCAGATTTTAGTCCGGTGAAGGCATTGACACCAGTCAAAGGCGTTGACACAAGTCAAAGGCTTTACGTTAAAAAACGGGGCAGCGCGTTTTCAAAATGCCGCCGCAGTGGATAGGCTGCCCCGAACACACCCTTAGTGTTTTATTATTGGACGTCTCTTTTTCCTTCTCCTTCTCTCATCCTTCTATTTAACTGCATGTAGAATTAAGACAGTTGGACCTCCTGTCAACTTTACTAACATCAAATTATTTTAGGAAGATTTACATATACACCACCCATTTCCTATGTTTTTACATATCTAATACATCAATTATATTTTTTACATCGACAACACTTCAACTACACATGAAAATGCATATTTAATCTTTTAAAAGTTAAAATAGTGGTACGTTGGATGTGATATAAAAAATTTGGGTGTCATAAATGTAAAGAGTAAAGAGTGGGCGTTAGATTTGTAAATTCATAGGCTTTTACTGGTATATTTGTAAATTCCTCATTATTTTAATATGCTTACTGCATTCAGGTTGCTGTTGCATTGGAAAAAGCTGCTTTATCTGATGATTACTTTGTCAAGAGAAAGCTCTACCCAAACGTCGACTTTTATTCTGGCTTGATTTATCGGTAAGTGCTTCCAGTTCTTCTTCTTTTTTGGGGGTCTTACTTACATAGCACAGAATTCTTATGTATTTACATGTCTGACACCCGAACTTTCATATTTACACACAGTAGTTGTGTGATTTTAGAGATGTGAGTGCTGTGTGTAAATATGAAAGTTTGGGCGTGAAATATGTAAATGCATAAGAATTGTGTTCCAGATATGTAAAATTCCTTTTTTTTGTTGTTCTTACTTCTGATTTTAACTATATTATGTAAAATCAGTGCTATGGGATTTCCGACGGAGTTCTTCCCTGTTTTATTTGCTATTCCACGAATGGCTGGATACTTGGCACACTGGAGAGAATCACTTGATGATCCTGACACAAAGATTATGAGGCCGCAGCAGGTTTGTTTAGTTCTGTTTGTGCAATTTGTTATTTTTCCTATTTTATGAAAACCAGGTAAAGTGTTGCCTAGATGAGAATGATTAGGTGGATGTGTGGCTTTACACTTAAAGACAAAATGTGAAATGAATATATCGGTGATAGGTTGGTGTAGCTCCAGTGACGGACAAAATGAGGGCAAAAGCTAAAAGGGAACATCTTAGATGGTTTGGTCAAATTAAACATCAATCATTTGATGATTAGATTAGAAGAGTACATGTTTTAGATTCAACTTATGTTAAGAAAGGCAGGGGTAGACCTCAGATGACTTGGGCATATTGTATAAAAAATGATCTTAATTTATTAGAATTAAATGAAAATATGACACTAAATAGGATGCAATGGAGAAAAGGATTCATGTCACTTGCCTCATTTAGTGGGATAAAGGTTTTGTTGTTGTTATTGTTGCTGCATAAGATAAATGGTCGATTTAGGCTTTAGATGCGGAAGCTGTGGTTTATGGGTGCGAGCATGCCGAGTTTTAGTGAGATTAAGTTCATTTTGGCTCGGCTCAGGAAGCAAATAAAATGAAATTTTGGGACATTTACATTGCACCCTATGCTTATGTATTCATTACATTTCTCACATCTAAACTTTCATAGTTACACAATATTTAAATCTTTAACATCACATAAAGAATAGCATTATTATCACTTTTTGAAAATAAAACACACATTTTCATGCATGAGTGTAAACCACCAAATCGTTATGTATGTTAATATGAAAGGTAGTTGTGATGTGTAAATACATAAGAATTTTGTTCTACGAATGTAAACTTTCATAAAATTTTATGTTTATATTTTTGCATCTTATTGAGCTGAGCATGAGCTCTGTTGACGAGCATAGAATTTAACTGAAAGTCATATATGGAAATTTACATACATACCGCGTAGTTCTAATGCATTTACAGGTCGAACATCTAAATAAATTTGATATTTGCTTTTATAAACCTAAGCATGATGTAGGTTTTGGGAGGGGAAAAATAATTATTCCTCTTCAATTTAATAGGAAACATTTACATGATAAATAGAGGAGGATATCTTTCATATTAGAAAAATCATAAAATCAGTCAGAACTCCTCATATCCTCACGATGAAAGAAGAAACAAGAACGATAACATACAAATAATCATGAAGTCTAAAAATAGAAATAACTAAAATTGAATATACTAAAATGAATTTCTCCTTAGAATTCTAACACATGAAAAGATGTATTTCACTTTTAAGAAGTTAGCGATAGTGAAATTTTTAATGTTGTCTAAGATTGGGTGTTATGCATGTAAATATGAAAGTTTAGGCGTTAGATATGTAAATATATAAGAATTGTGTGGTATGTATATAAATGCCCCTATAAAATATACTTGCTGCCATGTATATATACATGTATTCATATAAATTTAAGTATAGGAATATGATTATACCCTATCCATATACATATATACAAATGCACAAATCCGTATGACACATTAGTGTACATGCACAAATGCATATTTCTTCATATTTTTATGTATATATAAATATAATCATATACATGCATACATACTTATCTCTGTGTATATAGATACATTTATATGTATGCCCAGGACTTCAAATTTAATTATTCATATTTACATACATACCATACAATTCTTATGTATTTATATATCTGACACCTAAACTTTCCTTTTTCATGTCTGTAACACTCAAATCTTTCATATCACATGAATGAAGACACATTTTCATGCATAGATAAAGATGGCATGATTGTAAAAAATCAAAGTTTAGGTGTTATACATGTAAATATATATAAATTGTGTGGCATGTATGTAAATCTTCCTTTATTTTTTATTGATATATATGTATTTTTATTTATATATATCAGGTTTATACTGGAGTATGGCTTCGACATTACCAGCCTGTGGAGGAAAGAGGGGCTTTTCTTCACCTGAATCTGAAGAACACTGGCAGGTATCCGTTTCAAATGCCACAAGGAGGCGCCTTGCTGGTTTTGGTGTGTAGTTCCACAGCTTGACATTATGAATATTTAAAATAATGAATATTTTGCACCTATATATATTTGAATAAATATTTCTGAATTATCATAAAGTAACGGCTCATAAACTTGAATTCAAAATTTAAATTTGATTTTCACATAACGGTCAAAATTTTCATATTATATTAAAAATATAACCTTTTTGATTTTTAGGCAATTATGGTTTATATGAAATTAATGTTCATGTGTTTGGTATTTAAATACATAGGAAATGAGTGCCATGTATTTATATCTTCCTATTTTTTTTGTCAAGTGTAGCCCTATTATTACAAAAAATTTTCTGTGCGGACTCCTGACGTAGCTTTACGTGCGGCCGAAGTTATTTCTGAGTTATTTTCAGATTATTTCTAGGTTATTTTCAATAATACCGAAATAACCCAGAAATAACTTAAAAACAAAGACCATTGGTTATTTCTGCGTTATTTCGATATTATTGAAAATAACTCAAAAAGAACCTAAAAATAACTCAGGAATAACTTACGCCGCACGTAGAGCTAGTCCTGACAGAAAATGTGCTCTTATTATTAACCCTTCATTAGTATTTGCATCTTTGTCCAACATCTTTCCAATTTTGCTCTGGATGGTGATTTGCATTTACAATATTATTATTATTTCTGCAATTATTATAAAATAATATTGGTTTTATAAATAATATGATTTAAGTCAAATTAATAATAATAATAATAATCACATTGAAGATATAATCATGATTGGGTTTCTCAAACTCTTAATTTTAGGACTTTGCCAAAGTTTAAGTTTTTAGATTTGCATAAACTTTGATGGTGTTTGGGTTCCATCCAAACAAATAATAAATTTTTTTTTAGAATTTATAAATTAATTAATTTTCAAGATTTGTATTAATGATAAGGTGACTCTTTTAAAAAAAAATTCAAATTAATAAAAATTCACCATTTCATTAATAGAGTTGATTGGAGTTAAGCCAATGCAAAAATTCTTCTAATTTAACTTAACTAAATTATGATTATTATTATTATTATTATTGTTTAAATGATGTTTTAATATAAACAATAAAATTTAAATCCTGTTCTAACTCTTAACATACTACAACTGCGTGATTAGGGTTGTCAAAATGACTATTTGTTTACTAATGGCTCGTGTTTGGCTCGCTAAGCAAAAGAGTCGAACACGAATACACTTTTTGTGTTCAAAATATAAACAAGCCGAACATTAATAATAATTTTTTTTAAAGAGCCAGACATGAGCCGACATTGGGCTCACTCGTGTTCGGTTTGTTTATACCTTTATTTACAATGATTAACTTGTAACTCCATCTTCTCTAATTTAGGAGAACAATGAGCTTGTGGACAAACTATTTATAGTAGATTGTTTCAATTGGGCTAGATCTCATGATTTTTTGCTGTTCTTTTCTATGGTTTCCAATGTAAAAAAAGTCAAAGTGTCTCCTTATTTTTTATTATATGAGTGCTTTGGTGGGACAATGTAATACTCTATCGCCACAGACTTTCTGACACGAATGAGTTAAGATGTTTTATATTTAAAAATATGAGGATTTACATACATACCACTCAATTCATATGTATTTACATATTCAAGCCTAAACTTCAATTTTTACGTAGTGATACATTGTTTGTTCCTGAAGATGTGTATTTGACTTTGTAAAGTTAAAATAAAGATAATTTTTATGTGATAGGAAAGCTTTGGGTGATATAAATATAAAGAGTTTAGATATTAGATATGTAGATATAAAGGAATTAGGGTGGTATGCATGTAAATTTCCCTAAAATTATAACAATTATGAATGTTAATAATTATATTTAAAGTGTCATATTTTTTTTGTTGTATCTGAATTTGTTCGGGAGCTATCTCTAAGGAATAGAGCGTAAAACTAGAGGGAGGGAGTGAGCGTATGTTTGTGTGCATTGTAGTGAACAATATAATGGATTTTGGATTAGCCTTTACTCAAGAAACGATCCCCCTATTTAAAGGCATTAAATGGTATTTTAGGTATTTACATAAATGAGAATTTAGTTTGATTACCTAATTACTCTGTCAGTTGAGATCAGCAGGTCTTGATTAGCAAGACTCATTCGTCCGACTATACAAAGTTGGGGTTGCCGTTCATCTTCTGATGGTCTTCGGCTCTGCTGAATTTAAATCGATCGACTTGATTTTATTGGTTGACTAATCCGATTCGATTATTGACAATTGACTTTTAAATGAGGAGCTTTAGTCGCCGTAATGAGATTCGGTTGTCGAGCAGAGATTGAATAATTGTAATTCAACAGGTATCTCACTCCATGAGAAAAGGTTCTTCGGGGTGTTCATGGAATATACCGTGATAAAACCTTCGACTTGATGAAGAGTTTTAGAGGCTCTCATGAGATGACTAGCAATGATGGGGGAAGAGTTGGACTGATGCCTGGATCTTATTATTTGGCTCGGACAACCTGCATCTGGTTAGCATCGGGTCTGAATCTATTGGATTTGTATTTGTTCAATTAAATTCTTTAATCTTCCGATGATGTCTCTTATTCTTCCATCAGTGGGCCCTATTAACCGTATCTCTTTGTTGATTTAATTTTCTAGACGTTTTTCTGATCATAATTTTTTAACTATTTTTTCACAAAATGAATTATTTTTGTAATGGTACGACTCATATACCATATAAGGGACAGATGTTGAAACGAAGTAGAGCGGAAGAATATGTCCAAATCAGGGGAGTTTTCTTATGTAGGTTGGGGGTGAAGGGGCAACGCCCCGCAATACGGTACAGGGGTAATTTTATAGTTACATATTGTGCTCAGGGTTTACTCTAGGGCTATGTATATGCTTGTTTGTAACCCTATGGAGTATCTCATATTATAGTGTATTCTTTTCTGGAATTGAAAGGAATTTGCCGCTATGGAGTATCTCATATTATATTGTGTATTCTTTTCTGGAATTGAAAGGAATTTGCCGCTCTGCTCCCGATGACGTAGGCATTTTACCGAACCTCGTTAAATCTTTGTGCTTTCTTCTGGATTTGTGTCGATTCTTATTTTTCTTCGATCAATAAGTGGTATCAGAGCGAGGTTTTAGGGCAGGGAAGAAAAAAATTTGGTGGCACGGGAAAGAAAAGTTTGGCGGCTAGCGCTTCGACAAGGAGTCGTGACCAAGCGGCTACGGTGGGACAGAAGGTTTGTAACCAGGCAGCTACGTTGGCGGAAGCGATTCGGCCTAGGCGAGGTTCTCGTGGTGCTCGACGATGGAGGAAGTCGGACGGACGGAGGCTGAAATCAGCGGATCAGGAAAGGAAATATTTCCTTCTGGAGTGGAAGAAATTCAGAAGGATTTTCAAATTTCCTTTGCTGGTAGCGAGCGGAAAAAATCGAAAACTCAGAAAGCGGAAATGGAAGATCGCAATCAGCCTATTATTCCATTCATTTGCGAGTTCAAAGGAATCTGAGGCGGTTTTCCTTTGTTGGGAAAGTAATTCAGAACTAGAAATATTCTCGATTTCCTTTGCTGCAGGCTACGGAGAAGAAGGGAAATTCTTGTTGTGGAAGAGGAAATTCTCAGTGAACCAGAAATTTTTCAGGACGCGGAAAAGGCAAGGAACAGGGGAAGGATCTTAAAGGAATTTGCAGAAGAGTTCGTTGTAGGATTAATTTTCATATGACAATTTCTAGTGCAAAATTTGAGGTGGTGAAGTTCGATGGAACTAGTAACTTCGGATTGTGGTAAACAAGGGTAAAAGATTTGTTGACGCAATTTGCAACAGGAGGTCCTGAAGGCTTTGCGGGCAATGAAACCAGATGCCATGAAAGATGAAGATTATGAAGAATTGCAACAACGAGTGGCAGCAACCATACGCTTATGTCTGGCGGATGATGTTATGTATCACAAGATGAATCTAAAATCTTTAGGGGAGGTATGGAAGAAATTAGAAACCCAGTTTATGTCTAAATTTCTGACGAATAAATTGTATCTGAAGCAAAAGCTATATGAGCTTAAGATGCAAGTAGGTTCTGATATGGCGCAGCATGTTAATGGTTTCAATCAAATAATCACGGATTTATCACAGCTTGATGTGAGTATTGATGATGAAGACCCAACAATGATTTTGTTGTATTTATTGCCTTCTTCTTATGAACACTTGGTGACCTAACATAGGAGAAAGAGACTATCAAAGTTGATGAGATTACTGCAGTATTGTTGGCTCACAACTAGTTAGTGAAAGTAGAATGCAGGGAAAACTCTCATAGTGACAGTTTATATGTTAAGGATAATCAGGATCGTGGATGAAGAAAGAGAAGAAGGATTCTAGAAGGCGAAATTCAAGATCAAAGTCCAAAGGAAAAAAAATAATCTATTGCTACAAGTGCAATGAGCCATGTGATATGAAGAGAGATTGTCCAAAGCTCAAGAAGTGGACTGGGGAGAAAGGTGATGCATCATCCAAGTCTGTAAATGTGGTACAGAGTGACAATTTAGATTGCACTGATGGTGATATGCTTTCAGTTTCATCAACTCAGTCAGAGATGTATGGATTCTTGATTCAGGATGCTCTTATCACATAACACCTAACAGAGAGTGGTTTACTTCATACATGTTAACTAATTTTGGCTCGTTCTATTTAGGTGATGATAGATGCTGCAATATTGTTGGTATTAGTGAAGTTAGAATTCAGATGTATGATGACACTGTTAGAACATTATGTGATGTCAAATATATTCTATATCTGAAGAAGAATTTGATTTCCATTGGCACTTTACATAGAAATTGTTTTATTCCTAAGGTAGATGAGAATAGAGAAACCATCAGAATTGTTAAGGATGCACTTACTGCGATGAAAGGATGCACTTACTGTGATGAAAGGAAAATTAACTGCATGTAATATCTAAAAATTGTTAGGGAGTATAGTTATAGGTGTTCATTTTGTGGAGTCAGATGATGATAATACAAAGCTATCACATATGTGTATGTGTCATCTTAGTGAATGTGGGATGACAGAATTGCATTGAAAAAACTTGTTGCATGGTGTTAAAAACTGCAAGCT